CTATGTTGATGATGAAACATCGCTCTTAGATATTTAGCCAGCGTGGAGCACTTCCACGCTACTAGATAATTGCTAGACGAATCTTCCACCCCCCCAAAAACCCACGCGTTCCGTTTTGGAATCGTGGAGAGAGTAGGATTGCTCCCGCAACCTACTCTATCACCACTTTTACAGTCTCCGCGGGAGTTCAGATCTAAGATCCCTTGATTGTGGTTCTCTCTCGGTGATTAGTTTTTCATAGCTTTCTTATCCTCTCATAACTTTCATTCTCTCAAACTCAAAACACTCGAAAGATGTTTACACTAGCTTTTAGCGTAGTTCATATTGTTAACAAACACAATAGCTTTCAGCTACCCTCAACCTATTCCTCACCATTAAGATTGCTAAAGACGCATACACCAGCTACGAGTCTAAGCTGCGTGAAACAAAACCATCCCTTTCCTTCTTCATCGACCTCGATGATGAACGCGAAATCGACGATTCTCGCTCTACCACCTACAACCACTTCGCACTGTTCAGCAGATGCTAACACGCGCCAAGTACACCTTCAAAGTCCAAATCTTCAATGGATCTGAGACTCCGCGTCAAACCATCAAGTGGGCTAATCGAAGGCCCCTGATCGTTTCTGGACGCAAAGGATCTTCGTCGGTGCTTGCACATTGCTCCGCCTGATCACCAACCAAGAAACATATCCTCCTCAAGGAGATGACTCCTAGCTCTGCAAAGTTAGACAGTTTCACGATCTAGCTCGGCTGGCACAGAGAGCTCATAGTCGTTTTGGGACGGCAAATACGTTGGGAATGCTTTGGCGCCAGACCTTGCACGTTTCAGCATCCGGGATTGCCTCCACCCCCGACGCGCAGTGATATCCGTTATGACTAGAGCGGTCATTGAGAATTCTGGCTCCAATGACTATTCGCGAAGGACTACGTCATGAGTCGAACTCAGACCCTATCTAGGATCGAGTCGCGAATAAGGCTAAGAGCCGTGTATTGCACTAGCAAGTGGGTTCTGGTATAGCTATTGAAGCTCTGAAGCAGTGGCGGCAACTTTGGGGTATCTTGCTTCATTGGAGCGAGGGTGGGTAGTGGTATACCCCAGCCAGCAAAGCGGCTTGTGGCAGAAAGACCCAGACCGTCCAGTTTGAAAGGGTCATGGCCTGCTCTTTTTGCTTGCGCTGTGGAAGGGAAGGGAAGGTCGGCTGTTCCCTCTCGATGAGGCGTTGAATGAACCCCACAACCCCATCTTCCTGTTCCTTGGCGATCTGTGCCACTGGATGAAAGCAAAAGCAATTTTCTTGCTGTCTTCGTGTCGGCAGTTCTTCTTCTGTTGCGGACTAGAGTTGGTCCTGAACTTGGAACCTGAGTTAGTGTGGGAGAGGGAACTGGAACTGGCCAGCCAGAGTGGATCTAGTTGGTCCAAGTGTAGGACCAGGAGTGATGCCTGGACATGGACCAAAGATGCCTGGAGTTGATTTCTTGGGAGTGGGGCATGGACATGGGTTGGGCGAAGATTGGGGCATGTGTGGACCAGGTGTTGGGCCAGGCGACGGGCTGGATGTACCAGGCTTAGGTCCTGGTGGGTCCTGGTGAGGTAGGACCAGTGGTGGGTCCAGGTGTCCAGGTGTTTGTTCATGGAGTTCATCAGGGAGTTGTGGGGCATGGACATGGTCCAGGGGTCTCGACCTAGCAGTGGAGGTGCCTTCTGTCTAGCTAGGTACTCGTACCGGTGGTACCAGTAGTTGTAGCTTCGCTGACAAGCTAGCCAGCTACCCAGGTCGTACTGTCTACCGGTACTGTCTGCATCTTCGAGACGATGTATCAGCACCTCGTCAACTCGTCAATGGTCAAGCAACACACAACACACTCCAAACTCCGAACACTAGGGGAAGCCACTGCCCTCTCATCATTAACCGCCTCTTCCACCAGGAGCGGCTGATAATCCGCGAATCGTGGCACGATCCGCGGATTTAACGGTTTTCCGCGAATCCGCGATCCACGAAACGATCCGCCGATCCGCGAATAACCGCGAATAACCGCGAGAATCCGCGAGATTTAAGAACCAACTCCTCTATATCTTTTAAAAGTGGCATCCTAAATCTCGCGGATTTTCGCGGTTATTCGCGGTTATTCGCGGCCGCGCTCGCGGATTCGCGCCGCGGCCGCGCGCGAGTCGCGGATTCGCGGAAGAGGTGCTCGCGAGTCCCGTTTTCAGGCGCTCCAGAGAGTTAAAAAGTGCGTCGCAATGCCTTCTCAGTTGATAATGCGATTAGCTTATTTATTTGGTCTCATGCTTTGTGTTTTCATTGGCCACTTTGATGTTCCAGCTGTTGCACAGGATTCGAATGACTGCCTCCGGAAGATAGACTTTCCACAGGCTCAAGCCTTGCAAGAAGTTTCGCCGGTGATGTCGCGGTCGCCTTTTCCAGTCAAACACTGCATACTGCTGCTCTCGGCTTTGGATGCAACAAAGGTAAAGGTGGTAGCTGTCCTCTTCTTCTGTTGCCACAACCCTTTTGGGACATACTAGTATATAGACAACCATCCTCTGATTGATTGATTGATTGATAGAGCTACAGCCAGCCAGTACCGTAGCTAATCTAGCTAGAATAGAAACCACCATGTCGAATACTACCACTGCTGCTATCTCATCGGATGAGACATTGACGATTTTCAAGGCATGCAGTGAAGCGATTGACTACGACGATGGAGCGAATGCGTATGCACTACTGCAGTGCGTGTCGTCTCATATAGAGTCGGACATTGACGCCACCCAACATGCACTGCGGTCGTACTTGTTGCTGTTGAGCGGGGCGCTGATTTTCTTCATGCAAGCGGGTTTTGCCATGCTGGTCGCTGGCAGTGTGCGACGCAAGAATACTCGAAACAGTATGCTCAAGAATTTGCTAGATGCGGCGGGTGCCGCCATTGCGTACTTTTGTGTGGGATATGGGTTTGCGTTTGGTGGGGAAATGAACGAATTTGCCGGCAGCGGATTGCCGGACACGACCTTTATTGGATTGGAAAACTTTTTCGGACAAGGCGAAATTGATTATCCCTTTTACTTTTTTCAATACACGTTCTTTGCGGCATCGGTCACGATTGTTGCGGGAACGCTGGCCGAGCGATGTCAAATGGGAGCCTACTTGGGATACTCCATGTTCTTGACGGGATTTGTCTATCCCGTCGTGGCGCATGCCGCATGGACCGCTCGAGGATTCCTCTCGCCGACTCATGTCGAGCCGCTCTTGGGAATTGGAATGGTCGACTTTAGTGGTAGTGGTGTCGTTCATTGTACCGGAGGATTCACGGCCTTGTATGCCACCAAGATTCTCGGAAGTCGCAGAGGACGATTCTACGATATCAACACGGGAGCCGCGCTCGATGTCCCCAAGCCCATGCCGGGTCATTCCGTTGCCTTGCAAATGCTAGGCAGTTTCATTCTGTGGTTTGGTTGGTACGGCTTTAATCCTGGAACGGCTCTCTTGCTGACTGACAATCCGTATCAAGCAGAGATTGGAGCACTCTGTGCC